TATTATTATTATTATTATTATTATTATTATTATTATTATTATTATTATTATTATTATTATTATTATGTATCTCAATAAAATATTTACTATTTATTTCTTTAATTTAAATCAAGATTTTAAATACAAAAATTGAATTTAAATTAAAGTTTAAATTAGATCGCAAATATAGGCTCATAACGCATCCATATGTCTTACTCCACCCGGATGAGTCCAAACAATAAAATGCAACAATTAATGATAACAAACTATCTTACTTATATTTCTATTTATGGAAATTGTAATTGGTTTTTACTTATTTATGACCTATGATCAAATCACACCTTAATTACAATTACCAATTATACAATCAAGCTCATTCTATACCCATGATAACAAATACAAATATTCTAAGTGTTATGAAATCATATTATACAAGTGAATATTTTGAAATTTGTTGGGATGGCCCAATGAATTTTCATGAGTTATCTTGCTTCATAGAAGATGGTCTAAAAAAACTCATATAATGCTATAACATTCTTTCTAGTACACCACCTTGTTTGATAAACCTTAAAGTGACTTATAAATTTAAGTCATAATATTAAGTGTTTTGTAAACAAAGTTAAAATTCAACTTATTGACTATGTATTATTCATGTTGACATTGCTATATATGTTCCTTCGTTCACAACGTCCTTATATAACATTATCGCCTTATGAGTGTTTTTTCAACAAAATTATGGTTTTTGTGCATCTAGTAACAGTACCAAATCTCGCAAAATATCTATTTTATCTAATTGTTGTAAATTTAACAAGACAAAATTAAAGTTTATGCATCCACAAATTTGTTATAAAAGTACCATCACACCGATATTCATTCATATAAGTATTTATACAATTGCAACATTCATCTATGACATGATTACTAAACTAAGATAACATGGAGATTTTTTCTAGTCTAGTTTATTCCACTCGATTGTCAGTATCATCACTCAGACAAGAACCATACCTCATTAACTCTATCGAACAATTTAAAAGGAGGATCATATTGTGCTATAATGAAACTTTTGCTAGAAGCAAACGAGGGTTTGGTTCCACCAAGACTAGCATTCAGGGAAGCAACTATCCTCCCAACGTTAGAATCTGTCAGAAACCCACCAAATTGTTTCACTGCTACAAATTTACTTTTCCATCTTTTAACACTGAGACCATCTGCCAGAGCTGGGTTCTTTTGGTTCTCTAATGCCACAAAGAAGCTCACAACAATGGAGGGCTTTCCTCCATTAAAAGAGACTTCACTCGTAACTGGTGCTGTCAACTTAATCTGCTTGTTCTCCTTGTTCTTACCATGGGCATAATTAAATAGCCTGAAAACTCAAATAAAATACCAATGGTTACCCAAGTTTATCACTGTTTTGATTTATTAGAATACATTTTAAGTGATCACAAATTTAGCCAATTAAACCAAATACACAATTCATATGTTTATTTGAATTAATTTGATAAAACAATTACTATCGAATATTACTTAAAAAAAGTACTTGGTAAGTAATATCTAAATATATGACCTACAAAACCCTAAAATGATTATCCGTCAATAATTATAATAAAAATTATAAAAAGATCATCCCATACGCGTGTTTAAGAAAAAAAAAAGTTACAATAAATAGAAAAAACATATGTAGATATAAAATTACAGTTTTATATTTATAATAAGAATTAACCAAGTTCCTATTCATAGGGGTGTTTAACTTTTTTGAACCTTATCTGTATATTTTGATATGAGTTTAATGTAGTTTTTCATTATTCTATTTTCTTAATGTAATGAAGAATAATAGATAAATTTTGAAGTGTCGGTAAATTTAGCATGAATCTTTTTGACGTTAACATTTATAACTAAAGATAATGCTAATTTTCGTTACAAATTCTAAAGATTATTGGTGAAGGTTTATGTGTACACATTTTTTCCTTCTTCAACTCGTTACCTTTAGTTTTAGTTGGTTTAATTAAATTATATACGTAACACAGCATTAGCATATAGAGTATCTTACTTTTTTTTTAGCAGATTCCTTACAAAACCTAAAGTTATTAATGTATTACAGATAAAATTAACTTTATAAAAAGGAAATGAAATAACCTGATAAAACCATTTCTTGTAGCTCCAACGAAAGATTTGTTCTGAATTGGAGGTGTAGAAATCCAGACAGGTGAATCATATTTTCGAATTTCATAACCATTTCCAGCTTCTACGACATTGTAAGTGGGACACTCATATTTCTTGCATGATTGGGGAAGTTTACCTTCAACACTCCAAAAAAATAAAACTAAAAGAAGAGATATGAGAACTGAGAATTGGAATTTGGAGGTAGAAGCCATGGCTGTTACTCACCAAAAAATTATAATCTGCAAAAGTCCACACACATATATATAGATATCTAGACTTGGGAAAAGAAAAAGAAAAGACAAAATAGAAAACCAATTTCACAACAACAATACGATATAATTGAATTCAATGGTATTAATTGTATTTAATAAAAAAACATTAGGTTTTAAAAATGCTATTAATTTTGAACATTAAATGAAATAAGCAAAACCTTCCTTGTTAATTTTCCGTTAATACTATTCAGCTGTATTTTGGAATTAATTTTCCACTAATTTTGCAGAAGTTAATGTATTTTTTTAAAGACTAATTAAATCTATTAAAAAAGAAATACCTATAGCATTATAGTAGGCAGGTATTCTTCCTTCTTCATTGAAATTAAACTTTTTGGACTGGTGTTCAATGATAAAATAAACTTTAAGATTGAAGGGTTGAAAAAATTCTTTGTTTTAAGATTGCAAGTGCTCAGTTTCTTCTTTTTTTTTCTTTTTTTCGTTATGATTTGATAATTTTAATCAAAGTATAATATATTTAAGCTTTTATGGGTAATATGTTGAGCCCTTATTTTCTAAGCTTGATGTCTGTAGGCTGTTTTTCCCATGCTAGTCTTCATTACTAAGTTTTCATTGTTCATAGTAAGTAGGTATTCATGAATACTCATTCCATTAAATAATTTTTTTTCTTCAGAATCCAAGATAATAACGAATTTGATATTTAAAATTATTTATTTATAATTATTTTTTATCAAGCAATATAGAGTTATTCATGTCTTTCAAACTCAGAATAAATGAATGTTGTTGATCATTACCAATTAAACTATTTTGATATACCACACTTTCGATAAACGTTAGATTAATATTCACATTAATAATAATTTCTTACATTCTTTTTTTCCTAAGTTGAATTTTTATAATATAATGTTATTTACAATTCATTTTATGAACATTATCTTGCAATATATAAGAAACTCATATTTTAAATTCATTAAATATTTTATATTTCATGAAATATTTTCTTACTAATAATTTGTTGAAAAACTTTTTCCATTAACATGCCATGGTTGAATTAAAAATTTGAAAAGAGAATCTAGATCTCAATCCCTTTGATATAAGTGGGAATTAAATACGTTACAAAGTTTACAAACTGAACTAGAATCTTACCCTTAAACCTAACATATATTTTAGGCTTAAATGCTTACTTTGTTTATATGTTAAGAGAAGAATTTTTGTTTAGTACATGGTTTTAAAAATGAAGACATTAGGTCCTTAGAAAAGTGTATGAATAAGGTCTTATCCGTTAAGTTTACAGTAATGGGGTTAACTCCAGAAAGGGCGTTTAACGCCTGTTATTTTGACTTTTTAACGTCAGCTCCAGAACCGACGTCTTTGTGGGTGACGTTAATCAAACGTCGGACTCAACAGGTCTGACGTCTTTATAGACGTCGGTTACTGCATGATCCGATGTCTAAAGGGCTCTATAGACGTCAGACATTACATTAACCGACGTCTACTGCAGCTCGTGTCTTTAGGTAGCGTAGTAGCACCTTCTTCCTTTGCTAGTTTCGTCATAGAAAAGGTTGCGTCTTTTGGATCTCTTATGGCATTTCAACCGAAAACCGAATCTTGTTCCTTGCCTAGTTCCATTAAAACCGCCAATGAAAACGAATGGTGACAATAGAACTATGCAAGGACCTATGTTCGGTTTTTGTTTGAAATGCTATAAGACATCCAAAAGACGCAAGCTTTTCTTACGAGGAAACTAGCAAAGGGAGAATGCGGTACTACGCTACCCAAAGACACGAGAAAAACTGCACCAAAACACAACAAAAACTCATTTTAATTAGTTCAAATGAAAGATAATCAATCAAAGACTAATATAATCGGAATAAAGTACGTTTAAACGGTTCAAAAGAGACAAAAACGCACCTGGAAAAGCAATGCCGCAGAGAGAAAAGGCGAGAAGGAAGACAATGAAGTGCTCATAACTACGGGTTTGATGTCTGATTTAACAGCAAACTAGACGTCGGCTCCTCAGGTGAACCGATGTCTATTCTGGCCTAGACGTCGGGGCCCTCATAATATGACGTCCAAAACAACTTTTCACCTACTCTGTCAGGCCATTTAGACGTCGGGGTGGCGGGATCGAACGTCTCTAAGATAGAAAAAAATGACTTTTCACCTACCTGTCAGACATATAGGCGTCTGTTAGGAGGGGCCCCGAAGTCTATAATATTATAGACGTCGGGGACCCTCCTAACAGACGTCTATATGCCCACTTATTTACGAAAATGCCACTGATAAATAATTTACGTTGGTTATTTTGTGGTCTGACGTTTACAGGGTGACGATAAAGCCCAATTCTGCATTAGTGAGAGAAGAGAAAAAGTATGCCACATCATAATGAAGTTAATGTTGTTACTGTAAACTTAACGAATATGACCTTATTCATACATTTTTCATAATATAGAACCCAATGTTTTCATCTATATTTTAATATGTATTAACATTTCAATAGTAACCAATACTTATTATTTTTAATTTTTATCATTATGATTTCTTACCTCTTTCAGATATTTGATTTCATCTTAATTTTTTTTTTCATCTATGTGGTCTTCTATATCGTGACTTTCTCGTCTTATGATTCTAAAGTTTTATTTTAAACAAATATTGTAGCTATATATAATGTGATTTAACGAAAGGAATATTTTTCAAATATTTGTAACATATATTATTGTATAATTAAACAGATTTCAAATTGAAAAGGGATAAAATTTAAGACACTTCTTAGAAGTAGTTCTTAAACTTATGACTCAACAAATTTATGAAATTAAGATCAAGGTTAATACTTTCAATCCAAAATTATAAATTTAAATACGCTAAAATATTATATAGTTATAGTTAGAGAAAGTAAGATCACATGAAAAGTGTTATACTTTTAACTCAAAATTTTCTATGAATAAAATGCGAGAAATGAAAGGTAAAATAATATATATATAACCAAATTTGATTATAAAAGAAATAATCATAATTGATTTTAGTGAAGAATTAAAAAACAATATAAAATCTGTAATATTTTAATCTTAATTAAGCTGACTTAATTAAAGTTGAAGAAACATGTGTTAACCTTGATGGAGATAATGATATCTTGATTGAGTCAACAACACCTTCAAATAAAGTCAAACAATGAAATTCTTACATTTCAGGTAAATCTAAACTTTTATTTTATATAATCAAATTTACTTTGTAAATTTTAGAATTTTTGTCTCTTGAAATTTATTCATCTGAATAAGATATATTATCTTCAGACACTTTAAATTATCTATAAAAATAAATTCCATGGAAACGCTAAGAACGAGAGAGGCCTCGTTTACTTGAACTTCTAAAATCAAGCCACGAGACAATGTCATCATGTACAGCAGATATTCTGTCATCAGGTTCGCCTTCCAAAATGCAGTGGTAACCACCTTCATACAGCTTTAAAGTCTTATCTTTGCTTGATGCTTTCTCATAAAGAAATTTACTCACTAATGGATCAGTCACCTTATCTTCTGCTCCATGAAGAACCAATAATGGTGATGAGACCTGCAATCACCCATTCCACAAACCAATTAAATGCTTGTCTTAGTGAAAAAGTTCATTTCTCTTTTTTTCTTATTTTTATCTTCTAATAGTCCTTTTGGAGAAGTTTATNCTTTATAAAAAGGAAATGAAATAACCTGATAAAACCATTTCTTGTAGCTCCAACGAAAGATTTGTTCTGAATTGGAGGCGTAGAAATCCAGACAGGTGAATCATATTTTCGAATTTCATAACCATTTCCAGCTTCTACGACATTGTAAGTGGGACACTCATATTTCTTGCATGATTGGGGAAGTTTACCTTCAACACTCCAAAAAAATAAAACTAAAAGAAGAGATATGAGAACTGAGAATTGGAATTTGGAGGTAGAAGCCATGGCTGTTACTCACCAAAAAATTATAATCTGCAAAAGTCCACACACATATATATAGATATCTAGACTTGGGAAAAGAAAAAGAAAAGACAAAATAGAAAACCAATTTCACAACAACAATACGATATAATTGAATTCAATGGTATTAATTGTATTTAATAAAAAAACATTAGGTTTTAAAAATGCTATTAATTTTGAACATTAAATGAAATAAGCAAAACCTTCCTTGTTAATTTTCCGTTAATACTATTCAGCTGTATTTTGGAATTAATTTTCCACTAATTTTGCAGAAGTTAATGTATTTTTTTAAAGACTAATTAAATCTATTAAAAAAGAAATACCTATAGCATTATAGTAGGCAGGTATTCTTCCTTCTTCATTGAAATTAAACTTTTTGGACTGGTGTTCAATGATAAAATAAACTTTAAGATTGAAGGGTTGAAAAAATTCTTTGTTTTAAGATTGCAAGTGCTCAGTTTCTTCTTTTTTTTTCTTTTTTTCGTTATGATTTGATAATTTTAATCAAAGTATAATATATTTAAGCTTTTATGGGTAATATGTTGAGCCCTTATTTTCTAAGCTTGATGTCTGTAGGCTGTTTTTCCCATGCTAGTCTTCATTACTAAGTTTTCATTGTTCATAGTAAGTAGGTATTCATGAATACTCATTCCATTAAATAATTTTTTTTCTTCAGAATCCAAGATAATAACGAATTTGATATTTAAAATTATTTATTTATAATTATTTTTTATCAAGCAATATAGAGTTATTCATGTCTTTCAAACTCAGAATAAATGAATGTTGTTGATCATTACCAATTAAACTATTTTGATATACCACACTTTCGATAAACGTTAGATTAATATTCACATTAATAATAATTTCTTACATTCTTTTTTTCCTAAGTTGAATTTTTATAATATAATGTTATTTACAATTCATTTTATGAACATTATCTTGCAATATATAAGAAACTCATATTTTAAATTCATTAAATATTTTATATTTCATGAAATATTTTCTTACTAATAATTTGTTGAAAAAC